ATTATTAAATTCATTTCGAAGCATTTGGATTTTCCCTAACCACCAAAGTGAAGCGAATATCAAAGGCGTTTCTGCGCGATATTTTCGTCTTCGAGCAAAGAGTGAGAAATCACGGAGCCCCAAATCAAAATAGTGTAATGCAAGCCTTCACCCCTCCCTCCTCATCCTATTCAACTTGCCCCATCTTTTTTGCAACTTTATTTTTTAAAATAAAATAAATTGATTTCCATGCCACCTCTTCGGCATGTGAAAGGTTGGTAATATCCTCACGTGATAAAATAAATTGAATTGTTTTTTTTTTTTGCTATTTTTTTATTATTTTAATATATTTTCATATATAAATATATATTTTATTTATATTATTTTAAAAAAAATCCGAAATCTTCCGGCAGAAACACCAAATTACTTTTTTTTTTTTTTTATTTACCAAACCTAAAAAGTTTTAAACGAACCTGATATCATTGATTCAACCTCTTCCCCAAAAACCCGATCAAGATGACGTGCATCTTTTTTAGGTTAGCAAGGGCAATTGACTCCGGTAATTTATCTGTAGGCAGTTTTAAAAAATTTATCTATGGCTCATTAACCTTTCTAAGAACCTATTTCTTTTTTTTTCTTTTTTTTTTTTCTTTTTGACAAAAACCTTTCTTAGAACCTTTTAACAAATAATACATGGAATTCGTTTTTTAGCAGAACTTTTACGATTCAAAAAGAGTTTTTGAACAATTTTCAAATTTCTTATAATGAATTCTTACAAGTATAAAAAACATGTCCTACTTTTCAAGCAAAAATATTAAATAGAGATCCTCTTTTTTTTGTTTTTTGTTTTTTTTTTCGCTTACATGAGTAATATTAATTTTTTTTAAGCTTAAATGAAAAGCATGTCGAAGTAGGAATTTTGTTTTTTTTTAACAAATGTTATCAACTTTTATTGCCAACAAAAACCACGATTACATCACTCATAAATTACATAATGCAGAATAGCAATAGACGCCATAAAAACACCTCTCTTAGCCAAACCATCAGCAATACCATTGGATTCCCTGAAAAACATGATGGAAAGATAACGACAACATCCCTTCCAAGTCATCAGCAATACCATTGGATTCGCCCCAAATCAATTGCAGCAGCCAAGGAACTCTCTATTCCTTGTTGCACCATTTTATCATATTTTAGGAATCACCTTCAACCATAATGAAGTGGCCCAAGCTCATGGCTTAGATAAACAGTAATCCTCTGAGCAGCGTTGTGAATACTGTCATGTTAGCCATTGTAAATCCAATACGTCCAGCAAAGGCGAGAATAATTGTTCATGTCTAAGCTCGCACTACACCTCCAATCCTTACATCGCCTGAATTACCAAGAGAGCTACCATCAAAGTTTAACTTTAAACATCCTTGTACAGGGGGTACCCATCTACCAACAGGTCTTGGCCTTACCATCTTAGAGAAAGCAAGGTTGACTAAGTTTATACGCGTATCAGTCTAGATAATACCTCTCCCATCATTCGTGACAGACAGCCACTCCAAATAGTGTGAACTATTTACTGAATGAGGCATTCATAGGATAGAGCAATTCCTTCAAAGGTACGTCTATTACGTTCTTTCCATATTTCCCAACACACATCCCCTCTTACAATTTGTCATAACATAACCATAATTTTGGTAAGGCCGGTAATGCTAGTTATAAAAGCTTACGAAAGTGTTCAATAGCCGCCAGATCGCGGCCATCTATATCGTCCTGCACAACTCCTTAGATGACAAGGCCAGAGATATCATTCTGCCTTCTCCGTGCACTGGCAATCGAGTGAAAAAGCTTTGTGTTCAAATCACCCTCCTTGAGCCATTTGACTCGTGATTTTTTACTCCAATAAACTTCCTCAATCATACGAAGTTCATTCAGAGAGTTAACTTTTTTTACTCTAGCAATAGCATGTAGCTCAGAATACACGCCTTCGCTTTGCATAGTTTGGTCGATTCCATTTATATCCTCCAACAAATTATCAATCTTGGCTTTTAATTGATACTTATTTTCTTTTTTCTACCTATCAGCTTATGCTTAACAAAAAACAAGTTTTTGTGTAACTGAAAATCTAAAGATCCAAATGTGATTGAATTTCTCCAAGTCACTCTAATAAGATCCATCACTCCTACTTCACCCAACCAACCAATCTCCAATCTAAATGGCTTTGGATCTCCCAATGAACTACTAGAATTAAGTAGCAGCGGAGTATGGTTAGAGAACAGTCTTGGCAAAGCTTTCACAGAAGCTAACGGAAAGCATTTTCAAATAGTGAATATAATTATAGAAAAAGTTTATATAAGGATTCAACCTTATAATGTAGAACTACGGATGCACCTCAAAAATACATCGAAAAAGGTAGTTTTAATGTTGAAAAACCGTTTGATTGATCATCTCGACATCAAGATGTATGACCATGAAAAATAGAAAGATTTTCAGTCTCAAAAATAGTGCATTTTACAACATATTATCTACACCATCCATTTTCAAGATTTTCATATGTTTATAGATCTACTTGATTTTAACAATTTTTAAAATTTAAAATTTTATTATTAGATATAAAAATAGATTTTGAGATAATCCTAAGAACAGTTTATATCAAAATTACACACCATAATAAAATTTGAAGGTGCACCCTTACCTCTACCGCTACGGATGCATCTGTATGCCAACTGCACCCTATAATTATTAATAAAAGATTGCAAGTTTCACGTTCCATGCTTCAAAAATAGTTTAGGAAAATTATCGCTAATATCACTTATTTTTAATGGTATTTGAAAATCCCTTCTTTTTATTTTTTATTTTAAAATACCTGAGATGTGTTTCATTTGATCACGGGATCGGTTCGGAACTTCAAGCTTCAAACGGACTTTCTCATACACCAACTAGTTTGGCACTTTCAAGTCGAACTGGTCTTCACTCTACAAACGGACAATTTAGCCGGTTCACAGCTCCATATTTTTGAACGGGCTCACTTGTCATTTTTAAGAGTGAACGAGTATTTGAAAACTTGAAGTTCTGAACCTCTCATACACAAAAAAAAAAAAAAGATGAGCGAGGAATTCAGGACTTTTAATTCTCAACAAGTGACTTATTCTTCTTTTTCCTTTTTCCTTTTTCCTTTTTTTTTTTTTTTTTTTTTGTGAATTAGTAGTTCGAAACTTGAAGTCCCACACTTGATGGTTGGCAATACATAATATAGAGATGTTTTTAAAGGGTGAGGTTCGCATAAGATGCGCCCTTGTACTGTAGAAGTAAGGCACGACTCTATATTTTGATTAAATTTTGTCTGGAGATGTAATTCCATGTCAAAAACCTAGTGCTCGGTCAAAAATCTACTTTCATCCCATGTTATAAAATTTAAAATTCCAAATTTAGAACATATCAAGCAAATCTATAAACACTTCAAAATTTTAAAAATAAGCGGACTAGATAACTTAAAAATCTTGAACTCTCTATCTTTGGGATTTGAAATTCTTTTTTTCTTCATATCTATGCAGCTCAATATAAAGATGATTACTTGGGTAGTTTTCCAATGTAGGAGCACTCTCTTCTAGAAAATTTTTGAAGTGCACCTTACTTTAATAGTCTAAATAAACTTTTTTTTTAAAACCTACTTATTATAAGGGATATTAGACAAAATTTCCAATAGTTTGTCAAATTTTATATATTTTAATTATAAATTTGCTAATATTTTAAAAAATTATATCCATTCCATTTTTCTTTTCAATATTTTTTAAAGTCCGACGCTTTGACGTAATTTTCAGGACAAGGAAATAGTGATACATATTTTAAATAGGACTTAATACATTTATTGCCTTTTTTCTTTGAATATTCGTCTATTTCTTCTTAAATTTTTACATGTAATACACTTCGAATTACTAGTATTAGGTACTGCAGAGAAGCATAGGACTCTATGGGAAGCCACCATATGGAGGGCTCGCCCCCGGATTTTCATATGATGCAGATAGAGTAAAAGAAGAAGAAGAAAATCCTTAAAAACTAGGCAATGCTAATTATACAAGTCTCCTGCATGCTATGTTTATAATTCATAAAAGGACCCAGTTTTTATGAGTCCCATAACTCATACTATTCTCGTGCGGGCTCTCTCTAACGCCTATTTTTTATATAGATCTTGGATCCAAATTTTTAGAGATACATGATCTACACTATGATGATCATTAATATAAAAATATAAAATAAGACAACAAAATTTTAAATTTTTTCCTATCCATTGGATAGGAATCTTTAATTGTGGAGGTTCATCTTAAAGAATATTCGTGAGTCAGTGGGCTAGTGAGTCCGCTAACTCACAAAACACTCTTCCTTCATAAAAAAAAAAAAGAGAATAATGTAAAATCAACACCAAATTTTCCCCGGAAGACGATTGAAATTTGACTTGCTTATGCTAATGATCAACGAATTTTTATATTGGATCACATGTAGAGTCCTCGACACGGTTATGGAAGCATTTCCATACACCCACCCCAGGGTTGCAGATACTAAAATTCCCTCTAGTAACTCAAAGGTTTATTTACTTATTTATTTTGTGAACTACAAGTTGTGGCTCCACAGGTTCGGGACTTCCAGTACTGTAGCACCTCCTTTGTTTATTAAATGGGGAACACTACACTGTTTTGGAATCCACAGCTTTCTAAATTGCCTAAAAGAACATTGAAATTTGGAAGACTCAGCTTCCAGGCTACATCATAGAAGCCACAACACCAATAAAACACACCCTAGCACTAACCTAAGATTTCTCCTTAGTAGAACTCCTCGCAAATAGATTGAAACCCTGTATCGTTTTGCCGGGAATTGAATAACTTTTCCAATGGTCCAAGTCTCACATCTCTGACATACCATTTGAAAGTCTCAACGAGTTAAATCAAATTGAAAAATAACAAACGTGCCCTTGCTGCAATGGTTCACATTGTGCTGCATTCCATAGAATTGTATACCTAGTAAAGGAACATTGCATGTGTACTTCAAAAGGAAATGGACATCAATAATAATCGAAAGGTGATGAGCTAAATAGCCATCAAAACGTGATCGAATCAAGAAACATAAACAACAGGTAATAAGTGATCATAAATGTATGAGTTCAGTAAGTCGCACCAAGAAAATCTGACAGACATTATTGACAAATAATATTACACAATCTGCTGAAGCAAATGACGAAGGGCACTTAGACTACCCGAAAACAACATATGGAACACATGGTTCACAAATGATCAGCTAACACCTTCAATTCTTAAAGGCATGAATTGTGATATGTACGTACACAATGCAGAAGTTAGTTACAAATGTTCTTGAATGCTCTTCTATTCCTTCCACACCAGTGACATAGAAAATTAGAAAGATGCAGAAGCCATGCAGTACCTATAGTGGGTGGGAGGATTGCTACAAGCATTACAAGAAAAACCAGCAAAATCACCAGCCACTTCATTAGTAGCGCAGCATATGCCGATGTAACATCCAACCCAGGTTGCAAATTTCTCATTAAAGACTTTCAAAATAAAAAATGGAAGCTGCCACAGCAAAAAAGTTACTTCTCCTTGCACCAAGGGAGCAGAGAACCTGACCGAGGTTCAACAAACATAAGATACCAAAACTAACCATAGTTCATGAATCACTGAGTTCCGATGAAAACAAAGTGAAGATGGTAATAATGCTAAAAAGGAATTTACTAGAAACCATATCAGATAAGATTATCTTTTTCATAGCAAGCCACTTGACTTTGTCCCAGCAACATTTCTTGGTTTCACAAGAACTGAAAATAGTATGTCTTGGCAAAATTTTGTATCACTTATAGCATATACTCTCTTTTTTTATAGCCAACAAGTTCAAATATAACGACCATAAGATCTTCACATCATCATTATCGTCATCATGGCCTCTTCCCAATTAATTGGGGAGTTCAAGACTTATGATAAGTTTTGGCAAAATTTTACGTTGGCTGCCTACCTAATACAAACCAGCCCCTTTGCCTAGGCATGGGACGGGTTAAGGGAAAGTTTAAGGTCATCACCCTTCTTAAATCAAATACGATCTTCACATACGATCAATAAATAGTGTTTTCCAGAAATCGATGAAAAATATCCTGGTCCAAGTATCAATATAATTTGCTAGGAGCAATTCTCTAACATGAGAATGGCACAAAATAAATCTATGGTTGAAATTTGCATTTATGTAAAAGTAATTTCTCATATGGACTTTTTCTCAAAAGAGTGGATTTAACAAGAGTAAACCAGCATACTGAAGCCTAGACGAAGGATAGCATGAAATATATGGTTCATGTATATGAATCTAGAGGAGACAATACTTCACTATCCCTATGTGAAAGGGCTCTAAAGCTATTTCTTAAACTTGCTAAAGATGGTGGGTACTACAATACGTAGAAATCCTATGCTACCGTATCTCATTTTCTCAAAAAGCAATGCTCAATTCCTTCCAACCAAAGTTTCAAAACCCAAACCGGTGGGGTGCATCGTTCACCCACAGATCCGAGTTGGATCGCTAGATCAGCGATTCAGATCAAGTTTGGATCAATCCAAATAGCTGATCCATAAAAACATATAAAAATAAATGAAATAAAATTCAAATTAAAATAAGGTTTTATGGAGCTGGTATTGAAGAGGACCTAAAGAAACATTAGATAAACTTAAAAAAGAATTTACCGAGAAAAAAAAAAAACTTCAAAAAGAAGAAAATTATATAAGGGGAAGGTGTTTTTAGGGTGGAACTGGTAGGGATCCATATCATCAATGAACTCGTTCAATCCCAACCAATTCCCATATGGATCAACGATATGGATTAGAAATCACCGGGTTTTAAAACACTGCTTTCAACTACCCTACAAGCTTTCCTAAAAAACTAAGCACCTTAATTAGGTTTACGATCCTTCGTGCAAACTTTTTCATTTTATAAATAAGCTTTCATCAAGTCAAACTTTTATAAGTCCAGGCAACTACAGTTTCCCTAGCAGTGGCTTGCAATTTCTAAACCCAAAAAACTCTTAAGAAAATATAAGGATCAACAATGATGCTCACAATTTTCTATAGTGAAATAGACATCCAATCATACAACTAAAAGCAATCCAAGAATAGTGTTTTTCTGGAAATCATTAAAAAGAAAAAAGCTCATGCCATAATAATCAAAAGAAATTTTTATTTCTTGGTTTAATTCACTTGCAGCTTGAAACCTTTGATAATCAATGAAACCTTACCCAAAATCCTTCAAAGATAGCACAATATCAAAACAATATGAAGCCAAAAAAAATCTACAAAGCTTGCTGAAACTTCAAAATTGAGAGCCAGTTTTTATCATGAAGCCTTGATTGTAGCCCCTCCCCTTATGGAGAACAAAATGATGCTTTTACCCTTACTTGTGGGCATTATTTCAGCCCATCAGCAAGGTCGGCATATGTGGCCGTATCACATGGTGTGATGCACAACATATGCAATCTATGGCCGCCTAGGCGGGGCCATCTTATGAGCCAGCCGAGGCAGCGCATGCAGTTTGGTCCTGGCCACTTTTCAATGCAGCTGGATAATCAAAATCCTGCCGCATCTGACCACCACGGTTTTACTTACTATAAATAGTAATAAATAGCACTTTATGACCTTACCAGGAGGCAAATGAACATGCAGCAAGGAATTGGAGTGACATTCTTCAAATATGAGCCTGTGGAGACTTCCAGGAATATGGTTAACCTTCCATATCTTGTGTTTTCCCTAATATACATGCAACTTCAGTGAACTGCGTCTGTCCCAAATCTTTGTGCCAAAAATTCATCAAGTTGCCCAGAGTTAACTCCATCTTTACTTGAGTCATCAGTAGGTAATGAATGAATACATCCAAGAATATGGTGAATATCACGATACATTCTGGTGACAAGAAGAAACAAAGTGCAGACAATCCACCCATCTGATCAGAAATGCAAGCAAATTTCCTAAAACAAACATAAAACTGGAAGAAGATAATTGAAACAGAAGCAATGAAATGAATTGAGCAAGACAGTAATACCTAGCCTTCGCTTCAGGGCTATTTACATCCATCTTTGAAAACGTTGCTGTGATTTCCGAATGGAAAACTTGAACCACTTGCCTGCGTTAAAATCAGATATGCATTAATTCAAGCTACAAGCAGATATCTTTAGCCTATCCCTCAAAAGAGGAAACCTTTAAATGTGACTGTATATGAGTGTAATCACAGGTTTCCCGAGAGCAAGTCCAGTAGGGACCAACTTGCCACAGGGATCCTTCTGATATCACTCCATTTATAATTTATACACGGATGGTTTGAAGCGATTGAGAAAGTTGGTGGCAGTTTTAACAACTGTTTCTTTGCTAAATTTCACTAATTTTCAAATTCTACCAGTTTAGGAATAATCAGATTAATGGAGTTAATCCATTTCACACAGAGCATAAAGCAACTCATGCATCCATTTCGCCGTGCGGCTTCCTAGACCCCTTGACTTGTGGTGAACTTGATTTCACCCATAAAAACTCACTCAAGCTTCATAATCATTTCGAGAATCAACCTAGGACATTGCCTCCAAAGATTCAAATCAAATTTGAGCTCATGTAACATCAATTGGTCCAAAGTGTCAATTTGACTGCTAGAGGCACCATATGACTTCTATGGGTCGCAGTGAGCTTGCATTCACCCTCATCCATGGTACTATAACTTGCAGTGAACGTAACCACTCCCTCGAATTTGATGCCAATTGTCCTAATTTTTGACACATGGCTCTATTGATCCTATTAAGGGTACTGCCAAGGTTCTGGCTCATTTGGAAACCCTTGACACATATTTCTGGTCTGGGGACCACCTGGTCATTCCATATTTTGCTAAATGTGTCACAAAACACCCCCAGACATGGGGCTTCTCCCTCCTATGTTTAAAGTCTACAGGGTGGCATTATCCATTGAGAAACTGAAGGCAAAACGATAAAATAAGAACATAGAAAAAAATTTGTACACGAAACTTCCAATCCTAGACCACCTATAGAATTGATGTTACTATCTGCCTCATGCCCACTTTGATAAATGTACCAATGAAAGATCTTCTATGTTGGACCATTAGGTGTGTGCATATAAATTATAAATGCATTTCCGTCGTCCCCTAAAATACAACAGTGCACCCACATGCTTGCCTCACTTTGATAAATGTACCAATGAAAGATCTTCTATATTGGAGCATTAGGTGTGTGCACATAAATTATAAATACATTTCCGTCATCACCTAAAACCTCATGCTTGAAATCCTTGCAACAACAAAAGGATATCCAGCAAGTACATCTATCGGGAAATATCAGAATAATGTCCAAAGAGAAATATTTGGAATGCTCTTTTGGATGAATATATTTTTAATATTCATATAAAGTGAATATTTGGAATTTTATAGTAATCAATACAAAGTGTCAACTATAGAAATCATCAGAGTAATACATCGATATACATAAAATTGTAAATAATTATAAAAGAATCGACGAGGGAAAATACTGAAACTGAAATTCAATGTAACACTTGCTGACATTCAAATCTGTGCCCATATCAAGGCTAAAGATAGAACAAGGAAGGGAAATTTGTTTGATACAAAAACAAATCAAACTATTATTAGAGAAAGCAAAATTGAGGCATGAGTGGAAGATCATCAAACCCCAATTCAAATCAATTTCATGTATGTACTATGAATGAATAAAACTGAGAGAAATACTTACCTGAAAATTATGTGAACATCTGCCTCTGGAAGAGTTCGAGATAAGACACGTTGAAGAACCCCAACTTCCTAAAACCAAACAAGAGCAAAAGTTAGAATCTGCTTCCGAACACTTGATTTGCAATTATGGAAAACATAAATGATTGGATACCACGAACTTAAATATATCAAATACTATAAGAACCTAAAAACTATAAAATTAAATGAAGGGCTAATGCACGGGGAAAATATGCAATGTTATGAAATATTATGAAGATCCCATTACAATGATGAGAGACAATCACTCAATGTAGGGAACATTCAGGGTTTAAGATCTGGATGGTAATAGGAATTGCTCAGGTGTTCCAAGGAAGCAAGAATAATACCCTAAAAGGTCTCAGAATAAACTGTGGGCGAGTCTTATACATGTGCCACCCTTAATCAGCGAAACTACTTAACATTAAAGAGTTAAGAGCTGGATGGGAATAGGAATTGCTAGGGTGTCACAAGGAAGCAAGAATTATATCCTACAAGGTCTCAGAATAAACTGTGGCTAGTCTTACACTTATGCCACCATTAGTCAGCAGGACATTCTCACTCTTAACCATGTTTCTACAATTTGGGAAGGGGAACTCTTTCCCCTTGTTTTTGGTAGCTCATAGCCAACCGCCTACAGAACCTGCTCTCCTATCACAAAATAGTGCAAGCTTATTGAGGATTTGTTTTTCATTCATAAGATAAAGCTCACACGTCTTCAGCGTACATGACATTCTCTACATATATAATTTGCCAAGGCCCAAAAATTCAAAGATTTTAAAGCAAATTCAGCCAACTTTTCTCCATCAATTGGACTGAAATCATTTCACATTAAATGTAGAGCACATTATTATGCAACATCTCTTACCCAAAAGATGGTTTCCTCACAACTCCGATTCCAATAATTGGAGTCGACGAATTATCAATCATAAACATGACAAGCTTCATTATTCATCATGTTCCACACCAAAGACTCATAGGAAATAGCTCCAGAATCAATGGACTATCCTTTTCGTACATCAACCATCATGGCCTCAATAGCATGAATAACGTTGCTGCTCGTTGGAAAAATCATAATGGATTCTACAATCTTCTGCGAAGCATCCTACCTTACTACATAAAAAGCAACCTTGAGGAGTATTCTACAGGTATGGATGTTGTAGCCTTCTCTCATAAACAAATTCAGAATCCCAGCCTTGATAATGTGATTGACCATTGTCAACCTTTTTACATAATTTTTTTTTTTGAGAATTTTTTTACATAATTTATTTTTAAACTCTTGCTTCAACATCAAAGTTCTAGAAGTATTTATCTCACTAGATTCAATACCCCTAGAGAGTGGAGTTCATCATCGTCCAAGTATTTGGCGTAGGCTACATGAATCTTGTTCCTTCACACTTCTCTATCAACGGTCATACCCTCAATAAGACCAAAATTCACCATATTTTTTCTCACTACTTCTATCCATATCCTTTTGGGACTTCCCCTTGCCTTTTTAGAGCTCTCCACTTGAACCAAATCACACCTACTTAGTAGTGCGGTGTTGTATTAGGTCTATGTTGCGCATGGCCAGCCCACCCAAGTGTACTTTCCTTATCTTATCGCCTATTAAAGTCACACCCAAGTTCCCTCATATGTATTCATTCTGAATTCTATACTAACTTATCTTGTCACTCATCCATCCCAACATCCTCATTCCAGCCACGCTCATCCCATGATTATGTTGTTTCTTGACCGTCCTCCATTCTTTTGGATTATCAACCCTAGATAGTGGAAACAATCTCTTTTAGGTATTTCTTGACCATCAATCCTAACAACTTCCTCGTTTCTACTTTTATTATTACTAAACTTGCATTCTATATATTATGTTTTAGTCCAATTAATTTTAAAATTTTTAGGTTCTAGAGCATCCCTCCAACGTTCTAACTTTGTGTTAACGTCACCTCTAGTCTCATTGATCAAAACTATGTCATCCGCTACCTCATCTGGTACGTGCTTCGTTAACACGTCCATAACCAAAAGAAAGAGATATGGGCTCAACGCTGACACCTGATGTAAGCCTATTGTCGCTGAGAACTTATTTGTCTCTCCACTAGTTGTCCAAACACTAATTAACACTCCCTCGTACATATCTTTCAGTATGTTAAAATAGCCTTTGGTGACTCCTTTGTTTTCCAACAACCACCAAATTTCTTTTTCGACACCCCTAGAAGAGCTGAGAATTCAATTCACCATTCAGTTGAGAAACCAACTGAGACACATTTTCTAAGTTTTTAAGATAAATATTTTGCATGTTTCACTTCAGAGTATACCAGGAACAACAGATCAAATAGAGCATTCAGAATTTTATCTGTACAGAAATAATTTCTCTTGAACCAGTTGTTTTTTCTTCTTTCAGCGGAAAAATAATACAGATTTTGCACTTCCAATTTATCTTTCTACAGACCATGAGACAACTCCATGGACCTTAGAAAAACTTCATCATTTCAATAAGCCAAAGTTTCAAGTTGTTCAACTGTTCCCATTCACATAATCCCTAATGATTATTCATGTTTCTCTTCATGCCTTGGTGTACATGGAAGCTCAATCACTTGTAAGATGCCAATCCATATATTGCTGGAAGACTAGGCTCATCTATATATGTGAATATGTTGATTTATGACTAGACAGAAGTAACAATTGCTTTCTTGCTGATTTGTACTTACATTTCTTCACTAACCGTGCAGTCATCAATCTGGATGGCATATCTACGGTAATGCTCGCAAGATCGAACCCACAAGGAAGCCGCCTTGAGCTGACATCAGCCAAGATCTCCTTCATCTACCAACTATTGAACTAGGCCCTCCCCACTTGCCTCTATCCATTGTCACTAATGTTAGTTCCAAGGCTGTGTTGCTGCTACCACCTCTCACGCCTCCACTCAAGGAACCCATAGCAGCCTCCATTTGGGGTGAGTGGCTTTCAATTGTACTTCTAGAACCACCCTCCAGTTAATGTGGACTCATCTCAACTTCCCCACCAACACATATTTTCCATGGTTAGCCATAGCGATATCCAGCACAGAAGTTCAATAAGGGGCTAAATACTTCCCATTAAATAGGACTGCAACGCCTCCACCACTTTCAGAAAGCCACCTCTAACTTCCATTATGTGAAGGTTTTAACTCCCCAACCAGAGAAGCCAACCTCCATGTATGTTCTGGCCATTGATACATCCATACACCCACAAAGAGCGCCCACTGGACTCGCCGTCACCATCATAGACCCCTTACATGACTGGGTACTCCTCACCTAACTGTACTTATGCAACTACTCGTTCTGAATAAAAACACTGATGGTTGATGAAACATTTTAAAGCTTGAAGAAAAATCCATAGTCCCACATCTCATGCTCCAGTCTCTCCACATCCCACTGTGAGACTCCTCTACACTATCTGGTAATGCTTTCAAGTGAAGGCTCGTCTAGGGACTCTATTGCCCACTAACTTTCCTGATAAAACTGCCATTTAATCTTTTTCTTCTCAAATATGGAAAGACAACCTTACATACTAATCTTTTCATTGCCTATGGAAGACCACACCATTCTTACAGAGTAATTGCATCAAAAGAAATACGCATACTGCCAATGATTAAAAATTCCTGATGTAAACCATTAATGAAATAGAAATTATCGGACTATTATTAGAGCATTAGAATATATGGAAGTCGATAAGATGTAAATGAGAAAATAAACTTTGTCCATTAATACTTTCACCTTAGTCAGCTGTCGGGCATGAAGACTTGGTTGAGCATCACTTTCCTGATTCCAACTCTTAGCCATTTCAGGCAAATGTACCGGCAACCGATCCTTCATTATATTCACTAGCTTTGTGTGGATTGCATCTTTATGCACCCTATAATCCTGAAACAGTATAATAAAATCCAATGAAAAACTTGAGTAGTATCAACAGTTCAATACTTTCAACATGGATTAATGAGTTCAAATTTAAGCAATATTCATAAGCAAATAAGGCAAATCGACCTCATAAGCCAATTTTTCCCACGATGGGCTTATCTGAGTAATAAGGTTATGATACTGCACAAGAGTCACAAAAAGTACCATTCTGAAACTACCAGTGGCAATACACTCAAGAGTAAGAAAAAATAATAGTACATTACCGTTTCAGAATATTGTGGTCGAGTATAGGATACAAAGAAACATAAAGAAAAATTTCCATCCATGCTCATCAGACGAGCACCCTCTCCCAATCCCTGTCCAAAGTCCACCACATGGGCATCCCATCATGCCCATCCTCTTTCCCTGTACGCATAACACACCCCCACACACCACCTCTTTTCTCTCCCCCAATCATCCCCAACTAAATTTGCAATTCACCATACAGTTCTTATTTCGAAAACCTTTCAGCCCATACATCCAGGCTGCCATCAGTACAGATGAGACAACCCCAAAGAACATCTAAACCTAGTCATCCAATCGCACCCTATGCTCTACCCTCCAGTACCTTCAGCCTCAACCCTCCGCAATAGCATCGAAACCAACCTACCCAAGCCCTCAAACAAAATCTTCTTCTCAATGGTCAGAATGTCATTGTGGTAGGGGACAACATAGTTGCATGAAGATTAACCCCATTGAGGAGATAGGCACTTTTAACCCGCCCAGACATGATGTCAAAAGGATAGTAGTGCGGGTATCAAGGCAATAGAAAGCAAACGAACCAATATCCTACAAACTCATCAAAGACAACAAGGCCATCTTCTCACTGAATTCCAAGAGCAGGATCAAAGAGTCCTCAGATTTACAGGTCTTTCCTTCAGAGGGGCTGCCGTGCACCTGAAACCATGGAGACCACCTTGGCTGCCCTTTGGATCTGTACAAAAGATAATCATTCGCATTCCTGGAATTACGAGGCATTCAAAGAAATTGGTGATGTTTTCAATTGATTTATAATTGGTCCTCCTTTGATTTCTCCTCCCTAGGTTCTATGCAAATCTTGATAGAAATAGCAATCCCCTGTAATATGCCAACATTCATCATACTTCCAGTCTCTTAAAGCGAGTTTGAGGCTCAGATTGTTCCCATAGAACCCCCCTCATCTCAACCCTCTGAGGTTTCCACTAGTCCCTCTCTCCTTCATCAGCCGCTGAGAACCCTTACCCTCACCTTGCCCTCGTATCATGCCCTGCATATCCCCATTCTCCAAACGCAGAGGAAACCACCATAACCAATCAGAAGATGGCTGGATTCCTGTTCCCAGGAAGGAACCTCACCACAAAAGGAGAAGACATCACAAAAGCCCCACTGGAGTGGGAAGAAGCTTCCCATCATGGAAGGGAAGAGATCAGCCTAGACCAAGCTTTTGAGAGCTCGAGCCAACCACACAAAACACCTGGTCATCAACAGCCAACTGAATTCCACATCTGACATAAAGACTGACCTCATTTCAAAATCAAAATCTGCCCCGAATTCAAATTCAATTTTCAATTTTCCCAGGGATTCTATGCCAGCATCCCAATTCACAGCACATTCACCTTCCACCAGGAGATCCCCTAATCTAACAGCCATCCTGGAGACAGCTCATCCCTGCCCCTCATGCCAGCTGCCCCACCAATCAAACCTCTCTCATCCCCACAGCTGTGCCCCAATCCTTTGGACAGGTCGCCCATCCCCATCACTGCTGAACAAGACGCTGCCATGTCAACCACTTTTTACCTTCTCTCCCCTCACCCTGTTCAAACCTACAAAAGAACCTCCAGAACCAGCCTGCCAACCTCAACCCCCCTCTCTGCCCAGCTTTCCTATAACCTCCAATCATATGCGTATACCACAAGCCCGCCCTCACCAACCCTCACCCCCCCCCTACCCCCCAACAACCCTTCTCCCGGGAGCAAAAAAAACCACGAAACATTTTTTCCTTTTCATCCGATGGCAATCAAAGACACCCGTACAAGTAAATGCAACAGCATCCCCTTCTCCACCCAAACCGGGGGACTCCATGGTCATAGAGGGAGATTCAAAAAACGTCATCCACCTGCCCATGGTGCCTTGAGCACATCTTTAAGCATATTTCTTTCCTATGCGGGCATACACATACCTCCTTTCAGCATACATGGTGAGAAGCCAACTCTAGTGCGGGTGCACTAGCAAAAGGAGTAGCTACAAAAGTCACTAGTGGAACTAATTCGGCATTTTTTAAAACCCCGATGCCCCAGTTTGGCCCTTTTGGTTTTCTTTTGGTTTCATGCATGTTTTATAGTGTGCTCACCCTGAGCAACATCTTTCTTGTACATGATCTCATAGCCGCCCAGATTGAGTGGGCCCAAATCATATGGCGTAATTTTTTGGCAGTAATAAAATAAATTCCCAACATTTCCAAGAAAAGAAAAATATCAATGGGTTGAAATGATGAATGAATAGATCGAAGCACTACACGAATGCCACACTTGGGAGATTGCAGAAAGACCATTAGATAAGAATGTAACACAGGAAAAGGGTTTATAAAATAAGGCAGATGGCAGCATTTAACCCTTCAAAGCATGCTTAGTAGCAAAGGAATATATTCTAGGAGGAGGCTTGGATTAAAATGAAACATTTAGCCCCACAGTTAGAAAGGGTACCATTTGAATTGTCCTCACCTTAGTCCTCACTCATGGTTGGATCTTCAACAATTCAATGTTAAAAATGCATTTCTTCATGGAGATCTAAAGGAAGAGGGTTATATGGATCATCCACTTAACTACAAATACGTGACATAAATCTCAATGTATGCCAACTCACCAAGGTGATTCATGGACTTAAGCAAGCGTTGCAGGCATGGTTTGAGAGTATCTGCGAGGAAATAACCTCTCACGGTTTTCTGCGCAATCCGGAGACTACTCAATGTTCATCTGCACAGGTCCATTTGGAATTACAATCTTACTATTTCATGTTAATGATATTGCTATTACCAGAAGTTCACATGTCCACATTCAAACCATAGGGAAGCTCTTCAATGCGAAATTTATGAAAGATTTGGGGTCCCTAGAATATTGCCTCGGTATTGAAGTGGACACAACTAGTAATACACTTCCTCCCTCTCAACACATGTATGCCTTAGACTGGCATGACAGATTGTAAGCCCATCATGACCCCTGCACCTATTCATCATAGTCTCAGAGCAGGAGGTGAACATGTTCTTGATCTGCAACAATATTGTAGTATTGTTGAAATTCAATAACACTCTAGTACCTGATATTCACATGACCAGAAATTGCTTTTGCTATGAACTAGGTCCCCCAATTTATGCATGCACTTCATAGAAGCTCTGAATGGATACTTCCACATATTAAGTCAACCATTGGTGACCGCTTACAATATACTCCAGGCTATACTTCTTTCAATCCTCTCACTATTGTTGCCAATTCGGATGATGATTAAGCTTAGTTAAGCTTAGGATCTAGAACTTCGTCACTCCACATTCATTATTGTGTCTTTCTGGAACAGAATCTAGTTTCACAAAGTACTAGAGAATGAAGAACCATGCTAGGTCGAGTATGGAAGCTGATTACAGATTTCTGCCAGTTCGCAAAGTCTCAGCTGTGAGAAGGCCTCACGGTCTCATTTAGAATAAGTGGTGAGAGGCCGACTCGGTGGCTAACCGGCCAGCAAAAGAAGGGATGGCTCACACTTCCCTCTCCATGATCCACTCTCCAACCTCCCATCCATAAATCTTTACTCGGTTTCAATTTTGTGTAGGCAAGGCTAGCTTTTTCTTCCAAATTTTACATACTCATAGACATAGTCAACAGTACACGTTTTCTCAGAAAAAAAATATTTAAAGAAGCTCAGAATTTGTCATTGACTTTGTACAGCATTTATTTTCTTCAAAATAGACTAGGCAAACCATTGTCCAGTAGAAGGAATTAGAAATCATAATGTCCATTTAATCTGATGGTGATGCACATGGTCTACCTAAGAGGCTCCCATGGACCATATGATTAGCATTTAACACCACCATAGTTCATTACCCTGAGCAGGTATGTTGGCATCATTCAAAATAGCATGTTCGTTGCTCCATGGTTTGTATACATCTCAGTCTGGTGGACCCTAAAGTAAAAAATAATGTACACCTCCCTTTATAGTGAATAATGTTGACCATCACAGACAAATAAATATAGTTTCAATGTAACAGTCAACTATCATGCACAGTGATCACCCATACCATATACTAGTTCGAAAGTAGGGTCACAAACTAACTGAAACAGACACCCATAGAGTAATTTGTTTCCCAAAGTCTACCGGTCTAAGGAAAGCTAATGTAGTCGATATTAATAAATAAATAAAATAACAGGAAAGCTGATTTAGTCCATTCTAGTAGTGTTTCGAATGATTCCATGTTTTGGAATGGAAAAAAATTATTTTACTCTATCCAACGCAATTCTCAAATTTGCATGAACATAGAAAAGGCAAAGGTGTCTTCTGTAAGTTAAACTATGTTTTTTCAAATTAAGATCATAGGCTAAAATTTCAAAGTGATTGTCACAAACGTGATAAGGTATCATCTCACCACAACATAAAAAACGCAAAGGAGTCTTCTGCAAGTTAAACTTTGTTTTTTTTGCCCGTTTTTTTTTGGAAATTAATGCCATAGGCTAAAAGTTCAAAGAGATTATCACATATCATCTCAGCACAACATAGGAAATGTATGGTTGATATAAGTAAATAAATTACCTGTGCTACTCTGTCAATTTCAGACACCAACAAAGCCTTGCGTGGTTCTGGTACTTTCAAGAAAAGAATACGCCTGATTTCTTTATTGCACGATGAATAAGGATATCAGAATCTCAGAATGCAATACTTACATATATAAAACTAAAAATATGAAGATAAATTAAAAAATAATAAATAGCAAATGCGTAAAAAAATTAAGCAGAACAAGTTGTTCTAGTGACATGACTAGAGAAGGTCCATAAGAATTTTTCTGGAGCTGTGAAGATGTTTCAGATCATAAAAACATCGAGTGACAAATACAGAGGACCTACGGCTAAAGGTATAAAAGCATGACTAATATTAGTATAATAAATTAGCAACATTTAGAGAAAATGACAAAAATCATAGGGAACCATATCAGAAGACAAAATTAACAATCTTGGGAACATGATCCTCAATTAATTATTTCTTCCTCCCACTCTCATGTGCTTAACTACATAAGCTTCCCTCTAAATCAAAATTGCAAGAGCAATAGTTCTATTCAACCCAAGAGCAAGACAATAAAGGCAATTTTGATGGTGCTGTCACACCCAATGATGGAGATTTCTAAGCAAATCAAGTTCTATAACTGCCAAGCTCTCCTTGGCACTCCCAAACCAGATCCCACAGCATAAAAGGAATCCAAAGCACCAATGGGAACAGATCACATATAATAAGAAGAAAGCAAAAATAAAGGTATAGATATCATATAGTACAAGAAGAAACCTTAACACGTTGGAAAATGCAACACAATTGCACAGAGGTCATTGTGTCAAATACCTATACCTGAAAACATGAGATCCAAAATAATGGAATTCCAGCTTCTTGACTTCCTACCGCTGATTAACTAAACAGACAAAGAGAACCTTCTTATAATGTATGGAGCAATTAATCGATACGATCAACCATGCGTTGGACCTGATATTTGGAATACTAAATGTATCAGGTATGCATTCTCTTACAATAAGTGATAATTTCAATTGAAAAGAAAGAGGACTGCGCTTTAGTACACAAAGAAACCACAGTTTCCCTTTCGTAAGCACTGTCTACCAAGACATCCCAACTTTCCGACCCAAATAATAACAAACACAGAGGGATCCCAATCTAACAGCATCACTATCTTCAGGAGTACACATCTTCCCCCCTTTCAATAGAACCTTGTATTCCTCATTCCAGTGCCCAACCACCATTCGATTAGGTCAGCATCTATTACTGGAAGACAGCTCCATCATTTCCAAAGCCTACGAATGGGTGTTGAATGCCTATGTATTTTGCAACAGTTTCCACATACACAGAAACCAATCCACCTCATCTGCTCTCAAAAGGCCAAAAATTGTCTGGTTTACTTATACATCTCATTCTTCCCCAACTATATAAACTAGATGTACACATAGCCTTATTAATATCTCCCAACAACAAGTTCATCTATCTAATATTTTAGCCATGATGATGAAACCCAAATGCCTCTTAGCCATGAGTTCCGTATCCAGAAAGCTTAACCAACACTTAGTAATCCGGCACCAATTAAATTCAGCAGAACCAAGAAAAACCTATTTATGTCTAAGTGGAATGAGAGATACATATGATCTGGTACTAAAGCCATGGTTTGACTACCCAAGGAAGCTAAAGCATCTTGGAGCAATCTACAGCATCCATTGGTTCTCACCCACTTTCCTCCAATATTAACATTCCATCTTCTTCCAATGGTTTCGATGAAATGTATTTTTGAAGCTTCCTTTACACTAGATAGCCTTCTTCATGCGCAGCTGAGAATGCATATGCATGTACAGGTCTTACATACTCTTGTATGTCCGGTCTGAGGCTGAAGATTGGCTAAGAATACGCCAACTCCTATTTGAAGGCTAGCTGACATCCTTAGACTTGTGACACCTCCACCACTACTAGGACATGCTTGACATGATGAACTGCTGGTTCTTCTTTTCTTTTTCGTTTTTTTTTCTTTTTTGTTTAATGATAATGAAGAGCTGACCCCAATTAGTTGTGATAAGGCTCAGATGATGATGATAATGATGATGAAGAGATGCTTTTTGTTCCCTTTCGTTGACAGACATTAAAACAACCATATCCGTATGAAATACCTAGCTAAATATCCTCCTCATAGCTTTCAAAAGCCAGAACTAAATCCTTATCCTCCTGCATACGGCAGCATATAAATTTTGATATGGCGAAGGGTAAAGTATAATGTAACCCAATGGCCACGAAAATCCTGAAAAAGAAAATGCCACTTACAGATATCAACAGCATTAAACTTGGTAATCAACGTTACATTCAGGTGCTAGCAACAAAACCTAGACTTAAGAAGTGTGGGGGCATCAGGATGACAATTAGTCTGTTTGTAAAGTTATAAACTAAAAATTTAAGGCATATCAAGATGCCACCCAAAACATGGTTTGGGGGCATTTTGATGATTAGTTTGCTTGGAAAATTGAAACTAAAAACTTAAAATTGTGGCATGTGTGGATTGCTGAATGGAAATACACTCACAAGTACAAGGCCAAACCATAAACAAAACAAGGTGATCCTCCCATCCTTTTTTCATCTCCAAAACTCGCTCATTGCGGTCACTGAGGACTATGGTCCCAACCACTAAACACCACCCTTTGTACCCTCACTCTCATCTTCAAAATGATGAGACTGGAGAGTTTGAGAAAGAAACAATTAGAGAGATATTAATGCCCTGTAGAAATCAGAGATAGAACTAGGGCAAGGTTTAGAATGATTTGGAAGTAAATGGGGGGAGAGTTCTCAAATAATCATCGCAACCCTGATACCATATGAGCTGATCATTAGGGTCGACGGCAACCTTTTATGCCTTGATCACATGAGAATGTTGAGGAGGCGAGCTGCAATTTCATGGCGAAGAGTTCAAGAACTTGAGGTGTGAGCCTTACATTGGGGCTAGGAGTATTGAGAGAGAAAGTGGGTTTCTAAGAGAGAAGCCATGCTGATTATCGTGATTGCAACTGAAGAGATGAGCCACTTGGTTGGACTTCAGAAGGGCTTGAGGTCAAGCCTGCAATGATGCAATGGTGCTTCATTGATGGTGCAGGAGAGAAAGAGAATGGGTTTTTAGACAAAGGAGCACCTCAGGCCATGGCGATTACAGGCTTGCGGGCGACTGAAGACTTGAGATCAAAATCTGCAATTTCCCCATCGAGATACAATTCAATCAACTCTTAACAAATGGAATCAATTAGAAGGCCAAAAAACCTTCCAATATCGGAAATGAGTCTCCAATTTTCAAATAATTGACCAAAACTGCTGTATGTGATGCCCATCAGGCCTCATTTCGTGGAAGATAAACAAGTTGTTTCAGAGAAAGAGAAATCCGGTAAACTCAGTTAGTACAAGATAAAAGCATTCAGAAATCAATCAAACATTGTCACTTGATCAGATTCTCGAGTCAGCGCTTGATGCTTGTAAATTAGGTACCAACAGAAATTCCAAAAATAGTTAATAATTGCAGCTTATATAAAATCTTCTGCAGATTGAACAGAAAATTCAGCTATTTATTAAATCCCTTCACTCTTAAATGTTCTTCCTCTCATGTTCTTAACTGGAATCTAACATAGCTAAATACATGTGGTATCAATTAAAGAGTACAAATCAAACACAGTTCATTTACTTGTCTATGTATTTCGCTCATTGAGCTTTCCTGAATTTCCATCTTCCAAACTTTGAGCTCAAAACATCCGAAAATCATCCAACCACCTTAGCTAGGGTTTACACAAATCGAGAGTCAACCAACAAACCAAAAAACAAAAGAAAAAAAAAATCCTGCCATCTTTTTCATTTCGTCTCCAAACTCACTCGCCAGCCAGACAACACACCCAAGCCCTCCCCCAACCACCCCACCCCCCGCTCACCCATCCTCCCTCTCTCTCTCTCTCTCTCATGCACATTATTTTAAAAAGCGGACCGCCCAACGCCTAGGCGGTCAAGAAGGCCTGAGTGCATCGCCCAGGCCTAGGTGGGCTGTCCCTTGGTGCCTGCCTAGGCAAGCGCCCAGTGCCCAACCCTAGGCAGCCGCCCAGAGCCTGCGCCCCTCCCAGGGGCAGAAATGCCCCTCATTAAGGGCATTTTTTGGTTTTTTTTTAATATAAAAGGGCAAAATCATGGGTTTTCGGTTCATTTGAAACCTAAACCCCAATAGAGCCTATTTTAGAGAGAGAAAAACCCAAAAAACCTAGTTTTTGGTGATTTTCATAGGATCAAAGGGTTTCTCAAAGTTACGAGAAATTGATCTAAGCATCACCCATTTATATTAGATTTGGTTTTGAATGTTTTATAAATCTATTAGAAGGTTTTTTAGAAGATTTTGAGTCCTTTGAGTCATTAGAAACATCTTTTAGTCTTCAAATACTCAAGTCTATAATCTATATACTATATTTCTTTTATTTTGTTTTTCTCCTCTTGGTTGTGTATTGTGGATTTGTGGTTCACCGGTTTGGCAAATTTGGTTGATAAATTTTAATTTTTAACTATGTGTGGAGTGTGGACTGTCAGACTATGGATAATTGGATATAGAGTAAGGAGGAGTGTGTGCTATGTGAACTTGTGTACTATACATTTGATATGCCCTAAGTCCCTAACTCTTATGTGTTACACAGTTATACTTATATTGTTAGACTATAGAGACAATTTTCTTTCTATTGGGCCGCCCAGGTTCTGGGCGCTCGCGCAAAGCGTTGGGTGGACTCGAACCCCCGGCCGCCTAAGCGTCGCCTAGCGTTTTCTGAAACACTGCTCTCTCACTCTCTCTCTCTTGTAGGGTTAGTTGTGTAGAATTCCATAGTATAAATTCAAAAAAAATCTTTTTTTTTTTTTTAATAGTTGTAATTTCTGCTCGCAGTTGCCATAATACAATGTAGAAACAAATATACTATAATTTAGTATCTTTATATCTTACTGTCAAAAAAAGTTTATTTGAAGATGAACTCGAACTTACAACTTAGGAAACAAATAGTAATAAGGTACAGCTAAATAATAAAACTATTAAGACTTGCAGAAATATTGCCTAGTAAGGCCCTTAGGACTTGGCACTACCCACACCCGATCACCTACCCATGGTGCATTTGATCCTTAGATCTTGTTGAGTCCACCAATCCAAACTGGCAAGCACCTTCGGAAAACCCTCATCTGAAATCTATGGGGCTGAGAACATAGGTCATGATTTAGGTTTCTTAGACCCTTTTCAATCCCTAGGGCATGCTACTTAGCCGTACCCCCTAGTCTAGCCTAGATTTGGGAATGCCCCTTCTATCCCTCTTTTCTTTTGAGTGGTATGTGTCATTCTAATGTCCTTATGGGGGTGGCATGCCACCTAGGGAAGAGAGAGGAAGCTATAGACAGAAAGAAATGGCAAGGTGAGGAGAGAGAGAAAGAGAGAGAGGAGGAGGAGAAAGCGAGCCGAAGTGTGTCAAAAAAAATTTTTGGGGGGTGGGAGGGGGTGTTGCACTCCTAGATAGGCCTCAAGAGCCTTATAGTGTTCCAATCAGAACAAGATTCAACATTATCTATAAAACATTTAGGTAATTTGTGAGGTGAGAGACTGATAATCTTAGCCATCCATCCCTAAAATCAGTCATCATAACTTAGGAATAATTTTAGGAATCTTATCCCCTGAATCTTTTGACTCATATCGACTTCTAGATATGATAGACTTCTATTTTAATTTAAATTCCGATCAAAGTAGGAGTCTTGGTCCAAGTCGACTCTTTACACAAATAATATTTTAATATGAGTTATGATCAAACTAGGAGTCCTAGTCCAAGTAGGGATTATAATCAAAATAGGACTCCTAATACTACTAGTAGGACTCCTCAAATAATTAAATAACAATTTCAATTTAATTTGGGGCACCCCAGTTTGTGTGTGGGACATGTGGCGCTTGTGGGCCCCACTTCCCACCTGACGTGGCCTACAACATGTGTGTGCTAGCCCCTTGGCCTCCCCATGTGGATCTCACATAACAATCAGGCCCCTACTAAATTGTAAAATAACAATTTTGCCCTTTCTAGGTTTTTACAGCAGAAAATAAATTTTCCAAAAGATTCACATAATCATAATTAAAACTAAAAAAATTATTTATGAGGTTCTTAAAAAATTTAAAACACACATAGAAATAACTCTAGGAGTGGATTGGTACCAATAGATAAAAAATAAATGACTATCAGGACACTCCACCATGTCAAGATCCATGATCCATAACTGTCTTCTCAAACCAACCCAATAGGACCCATAACCACAATCATGTGCAGGGGCTCATGATTGACCCGTCAAGTTAGACAATAAATAGTGGAACAATAGTCCAAGTATCTGGATTACAAGTTCCCCCCTAAGAGCAAGTTAGATGCACAAATCATAGTGCAAGGGGGGTTCCATCTATCTGCATTATAACTATCCCTTTAAATCTAATGCAGTTATCATATGTACATGTTGTGCGAAAGTTTAGTTGAGGATTTAGCCCTTGCTCTCACAAGCCTACATCTGCACACGAGACAACAAAGCTCGCTTAGCCTACAAACAATGTCCCTAGACATCTCTCCGACCTCAACAAGAGATGGTCGTCTTATAAACCCTCAAAAGTAGTGCCCATGCCCAAGGAAAAGAATTTTGGACATGACCTGGGGCATAGACCGGCCAACCCCATGTCACTTAACCATATTACACACCCACTGAAGTGCACAAAATATTATGATTTATGATATTTACATGCTCTCATAGGCTTTACAAGTCAAACCCAAATCTCTCTCTCTCTCTC